AAAAAACCTTCAGAGAGACCGACCGGCACGTTTTTTTCTCTTTGATTTCAGCAGCCACCTTTGGGTAAATACCACAGCTGCTTCTACATACAGAATTACACGCGCAAACGGAAAGAAAAATACTCCCTGCTCACATCTTTGCTTTCCCAAATTCATAATACAGACAAGATTGTAATGCAACATGTCACTATAGAACAAGATTTGCCAGCTGATGAATTACTAACTTGTAAAGAAATTCCCCCTGTAAAAAACATTCAGCTGATCAGATTTTATGTTTACAGTGTAAAAAGTATTTGCCCTTTTACAGCAGAACATTACTTCACCAGCACCACCATTCAAATGCCCATGTGCGCTCTCACAATATGTGATATCCAGGAGGAATGTGGCAATCAGTGTCCATCAATAAGAGAAATTAAAGTACACCAGTAGCATTTCCTTCTATCTAATGCTATTCAGAAATGCAAGGTGCTTTCCTGGCTGAGGTTACATTGGGGCAAAATGGAGAAATGTTCCCAGCGAAAGGTGCTGGAGCGAGTCAGGGCAGTAGCCTTGTACAGCGCTTTTTTTTTTTTTCCCTGTGAATATAAAATGCTGAAATCCATTTGTTGTGTCGGTTCACAATGCAGGCCGGGGACAAAAAGAACAGGCAGATGTCACAAAAGGCATTAAAGCTTCAGAAAGAAATTTAACTCAAGCATTTTCCAGGTACTACCAAGAGAGAATACGAACATATGTTAGAATGGAGGAAGAGCAAACAAGTAACCCAATGTTTCAATCTAGCAGCACAGATTTCAGGGAGCATTAATATCTCCCTGACCCCAAACACACCTCTCTGAAATTACGAGGCTTTTTTTTACTGGCAACATGACTGCATTTCTAAAAAACATCACTTATGAAAAAGAACAGGAGCTAGAAGCCAGAAGATTTCGACAGACCAGTATACAGTACACAGTTGTCTACAAAAAATGTAAAAATTCATACATACAAATATATAATATTTACAACTACGTTTAATCTTCCTGTAGTACTGTTTTAAAATAATATCCTATAGTAAAGTACAGCAACTGTCCCAATCTCCTAAAAGATGCTAACTGGAGACCTACAGAAATTGTCCTATTTTATGTATGTAGAAAAGCAGCTGAGAAGCTTTTTAAAATAATCTTTACAGACAACCTCATGCTGCACCGTCAAACAGAATAAAGTATTTAATTTATGGTTTTGATTCCATGTTTATCAAATGAGGGGGGGAAATAAAATAACATAAATCATCAAATAAGCAAAATAAATTATGCGCTTGATCTTTAAACTTGTATAAGCTTGAGAAGCCTTGTATAGATGGATGTAAACATCTGCTTCGCAGGAAAAAAAAAAAGGAAAAGAAAAGAGAGGCTGGGGTGAAAACATGCTCGCACACGCACACGCCATGTCTCTGACGGATATGAAGCACATACATCTTGTCTTGACTGCAATAAAGCCGTGCTACCAATTCTATTGGCAATAAATGTCAGCTGATTGGAAAGCTCATTCTAATATCAATTTCCATCTCCGCTCTTTAAAAGGCAATCAGCTTGGCTTCATCTCTGTATATCATATGCTCCTTGAGATGATGACACAGCAATGGCTCTCTCGCACATAATGGACTTGTATCAAGGCATCTGGCATGAATAATACAATCCATGAATAGGAGATTTTGTCTACGGCTTGTTCGGCTAGGTCTGCTGCCTCCCTGAATATCAACACTCTCCACGCTCACATTTCTGTCTGAAAAACAGCCTCTATTTTCTCCTTTTTATTTTTTTTTTGAAAGACACAAGAGACTTGTGTCAAATATTAATGCTCCTAACCAGATCAGAACACTTTTCCTTCACAAAAAATGAAAGTGATGCTTGTGAATCATTTTTCTACTTTTATATTTGCAAAATAATCCTCTGCAAAAACAACTTGACAGCATAAGAAATGAGAATAATTTCACACATTAACCTTGGCTGTCTCCTCCTGCCTGAATTCAGGGCTGATTTGGTACACTGATTGAATTTAAGTGGAGGGGAATGTCACTTGCATGCATGCAAATGGGTCTGACGGGCAGAAAGTAAATAACGACAAATAATTTACTCAGGACAGGCTGGCTGTAAGGGTGCACAATATATCAGCTGCCAATAAATGGTGAATTTAAAGTCATTAATATTATTTGTCTGAAATTACTAAAACTATGGCTGATAATTACAACCCATAGCTCCGCATCCTTCACTAACAGTGTTTTCACATATAGTTTGTTTTAAAAGAACCGAACCGAGTTCTGTTTAAGTGAACCTGGAAGGGAACCAACCGCAAATGACCTCAGTTCTTTTTGTGTTTACAATGTAAGTGAACTCTAAAGAGGACTCAGTTTTCTTTCTGGTCCATTGAGATCTCAGACCACTTCTTGTTCAGACCACAGCTCCATTAGAACTCGGACCCCTTTCACAGCACTCACGGTGTGCAGAGCGCTCGCCAAGTGGGCCGCGTTCTCTGATAAATCCGACCTATCAGGTGACGAGAAGAACCACCAGACCCGCCTGCTGCTCTCCTATTGGCCGCGCTGAAACGATTGGCCAAAGTCCATCGCGCAAAATTGGAAACACGGCCCTGCGGGTCTGCCGCGGTGGGCTCCGTGTTCGGCTGTGCTCCTCACTGAAGCTCCACCCGGCGAATTTTCATTCATTCAGCGTTCAGTGTGAAAGCAGCTGAGAATTGCGTTGCATGCCCAGCTCGAGCCTTTAACACGGTAAAATCACGCGAGCTCTCGCATCTGATCGCTTTAATAAGTCAGCGCTGCTGTCTGACTTTATCCTGAGTAGAACCTCATAATGATCCTTGGTCTGTTTACCTGCTAAAGTGAAGACTGTGGCTGTGTGTGCGGTGAGCATCGAGGTCTTCACCATAAAGCACAGCTAAAGCGGACTGGGGCCGTTTTGTTTTCACAATGCACAAATTAATCGAACCACAAAACGAACTACAAACGAACCGAACTGAGACCACCTCTCGAGGTGGTCTCAGTTCGGTTCGTTTTTGGGGCCGTTTATGGGGGTCTGAGTTCGTTTGGCGTGTTCACATATGCAAAAGAAACCATGACTCAGCGGTCTGGGTCCACTTCAGACGCTGAAACGGCCCAAGTGTGAAAACGCCCTAAGAGAGGACATTTTCATCTTTTTTTTTTCCTTAAATTTACCTATTTTTCTACCCAGCTGAGTCATGTCCAATGCTATGTACTAGCTAGGACTCCCTCCACAACAAAGCGCTATCAATCTGGAAGGAACAAGCTTCCTTGGAGACACATGAAGCCAACCACCACATTTTTTCAAACTGCCACTAATCTAGTACCATGAACAGTGTAACAATTTCAGGAGAACACTAACTACCACTTCTAATGGGGGCAGGGAGGTCCTGTTCATTCCACCTACCCAGAAAGGGCTAAGTCAACTATGTTCCTGGCGCAACGAAAATTAAAGCTGTCAAAAGCTGACGCAAAGTTCTTGCCAGGTTAACTTTTCACATGTAGAACTGAACATGTTAAAAGCCGACACCGTACAAAGGTCTATTCCATAGTACACGGATTACATCTCCACATTTAGCTGAACAACCTGGTATCTGAGTCACCATTTAGTAGGTTTACAAAATTAAAATTGTCAAAGAGAGGTACACGGTGTACCTAATAAACTGTCAGCTCTGTGCCTTCTCACTCAGTGATGCATCTTACTATGGTACATTATTTTACCTTGCTAACTTTACTACAAAACATGAGTGCCTTAATGTGTCAGATAATGAAAAATGACTGTTAGAAGTCAGAAGCAAATCAGTGCAGCTAGGCTAACAATGAAAGCTATTCCTCTATTTTAGCGTTACCTCGACAAGTGTTCATATAATCTACTAAGCAGGAAAGAATTTACCTTGCCAAAGACAAAGACTGCCCCCCACCTAACAGTTAATCAGTTAGCTCTAGCATATTGATTTTACCCAAACTTGCTAAAAGATTTCCCATTTTTTACAAAATCTATCTGCTTTATTTTTGCTACTGAATTTGTCATACGGCTCTGTTGGATAAATGAAGGTATGTTCACATTAGGGCAAATTCACGTTGCATGTTGCCCTACACATCAGCAAGTCTTGACAATGGCATCGCTCATGGTGGCAAACCTCCTGACAAAAGGAACTTAAAACATCTCAAATGCAAATTTTAAACTGATGACTTTATCATTCAAGAAAACCTGATTACATACTGCATGCTTTTTTTAAACTCCATAGCGAGAAGAAATAGAACAAGAAATAGTCTACAGTCATGGGCATATAAACACGAGCACAGCATAGGTCAAAGTTAAACAAACTCTGGCCGCAGTGTGCAGTGGCACTCCGCTACGCAGCTCCACTTAGGGTGGCAAAAACAACTCAAAAGCGAGCTCCATGTCAGCTAGCTAAATACTTTCTATAGCATTCCAACATCTTCCTAACCAGCCTAAACACAGCATGTTTAGCCATACCGCTACACAGACGAGCGTCACCTTTTTTTCCCAAGTTTAGTTTCATGTGTACTGCTAATGCGCAAACTGCGCATGTGAGTTTAAGCTTAACGGGACCTTTCGTTATACTGGCCATGGATGCTTATTCACCTATCACTGTAAGTCGCTCCATACAAGAGTGTCTACTATGTAATTGTTTACAATATTTGTCATATCTGGTTTAGCTATGTCATAGCTTGGTAAAATTAATCAATGCGCCATCTATAGTGCAAACTTGTTTTAATGCAGACTGCAGATTTGGGGACCTCTTTGATGGAAATATGTCATTGCAACATCTGTTACAAAAGGAAAAAATAAGCACGGTCGATGGTATTGGTAATAGCAACAACTCAGTGTTAATTTGTGCAGATATCAGTTATCAGTGTCATCATCAAAAACCATACCATCAGTATCACCCCAGAAAATCCATATCAGTGCATCGTTAGCTGCATACGCTCTCACTCTTACCTTCCAGCCACTGCCTGCCTCCCTGTAGTAGGGGAAATTGTCACAGATCCATTGGTAGATTTCGCTCAGGGTCATTTTCTTCTTTGGCGAGCTGTTGATGGCGAAGGTGATGAGGCTGGCGTAGCTGTAAGGAGGTTTTCCATCCTTGTGCTGCTGGACCTCCTCCTGGTCCAGTGTGGTGTTGGGGTCCAGAAGGGCACTCTTCTTTGCCATGCCGGGCCCATGGGCATTCTGGGCATCCGCCTTCTGGATGGCTGCCCGCATGGTCAGCTGTGGCAGCCAGTCCATGGAGGTTAAACTGCTCTCCAACTCTGAGGTCATGGCAGCAGCTTGGTGGGGGTGGTGGGGGGGGTGGAGATTGGCCGAGGTGCGTATGTCGGAGCCCAGGTGCCTTAACAGCTCCGAGTCAAACCTACAGGAAAAAACACACACGGTGGAGGAGTGAGTTTACAGCACAACAGAGAAAGCCAGAGGATCCATCAACATCTACACAACAAACCCTGCATGGTTAAAGCAACAGTTTGACAAAGAAAGAAAAAAATAAAATTTACCAGGACTGCAGCTAGTATCATTTTCACATATTCTATCGAATGTTAACTGAAAATGTTTAATATGACAATCACTTAGTATTATTAGTATTGTTACCAGGGTTAGCCAGAACAATCTCCTGTACTCTCTGAAATAAAGTACGCTAGCGGTCTTAAGAAATAGAAATTTTATTTATTTATTTGGACTGTACCTAGAGTCAAAATAGGTCCTGTCATATCAAAATGATAATTAGTAGCTTAAACCATGCCTCCAAAAATCCCTTGATATGGAAACATGTCCCAAGGAAGTGCACGGCTTCACAGAACTGCTACAAGTGACAGTTATTTGAATGGCTTCACTGTTTTCTAATATAACTTTTTTTTTTTTTTTAATAATTTCAAATATTCTTTGCAGCCTTACAGAAACAGAAAAAATTACATTGCATAGCTTAAAAAAAAAAAAACAGCAGCAGCAGCTGTCCTGAAGATTAAATTTTGTCAGTATATTTAGGTAATAGTATAGCCACATAAGTCTATAAAAATACTTGCTGTAGCAAGTGTATGATGATTTGTGCAAATTAGCATAGCACCAGTCAAAATGATTATATTTTCTGGATTTTTATAAACATCTCTTAACCTCTGCAGATTTAAACAGCAAGTTTTAGTGTCAGGTGAGGCTTTAGATTAGCTTTGCTATAGCTGATGCTAACACTAGAACTAACCAGTGTAACATTAGACAGTGAGTGACTCATCACCTACACAACATCTTAAAGCAAAAAAGAAAATGAAATGGAAGACACATACAGTCTTATTGTTGGGCGCCCCTGGTCAAATTATGTTTAGTTGATTTTCTAAGTGAAAATAACACATCCTCTACAGAGAACACACTACTAAACAACTGATAGCACATTTACTGTTTATCTGCTGAATTTAGCATAACGTAAAATCCAATAACAAAAGAATATAAAAATTTGCTAAAGTTATGGCACCTTTTTATTTTGTTTGTAATTGTTTTCTAATATTTTCAACAAGAAATTGTGCACTAAAATGTGCAGCAAATGACATTAAGTTTGTTCACTTATTTCTACACAGAAAAAAAATAAATAACCCAAAAAATCTAATTTGACCAGGAGTGCTCAAACTTTTGCATATGACTTCGTAAATAAATGACTGTATCTGAATAAAAAATTTATCTTCACTTTTTTTTTTAATCATAACTCCCACACTGTACAGCCCTATTACATCACTTTTTTGGCAGGGGGGTTTGAAAGTGTTTGCACTGTTTGTAGTCTATCATAAATTCTTTCCTACTACTGCTATGAGCAACTTTTAACATAGAACAGAAAAATACTGTTAACAAAGGCATTGCAAAAATCAATATCTAGTATACATAAGCTTTTACTGTTTGTGAGCTACATTTAGCCTTATAGCTCTGGTGCAACAAACAAATAAAGCAAACTTCAGACACCAAACTTGTCTTGACTGATCAACTGCATTTGCGGTATAGAGGAAATCTGTGTAAATTTTGATTTTCGCCAAGCTATTTCTCTAAAAGTCATTCCAGCTGCAGCCACAATGTCATTTTAATTAGCACATTCTAGCAGGCAATGCTGTGGCTCAGGAAAGGCGCTGATCTGTAGAGACCTACACACACTCTCTCTTACTCACACTCACACACACACACACACACACACACACACACACACACACACACACACACTAGGGCAAAAGAAGCAAGGCCGTCTGGCCTACCTCTGGCCTGCACACTCCAGTACGCTGACTCACACGGCTGTAATCTGAGCTGCAAACTGAGTAAATGCTGGGGAATTGTTTTCACAACTGCCAGCCAAATGGAGGAATGGCTCACGAGGAATTCCGATTCTCCTGAGGGTAGTAACCCTCTGCTTTCCTTTCCTTTCCTTTCCCTCTCTTCGTCTCTTCCATTCCTTCAATCCACCCCTGACTGGGCTGTAAACAAAGCACAGAATTGTCATCGTGCCGAGCGCGGCGTCCACTGGCGCTCGTTCCAGCCCGTGGCTGCACCCTACACCCACAAACAACCTTGTGTTTTGGGCATCATGCCCTATCCACTCTTAAAATAGCAGCTAGAGCAGGGGGCCCGTCAAAGGCATAGCTAGGTGCACAGTCAGACAGCGTGATCAAAACGCACTCACTAGAAACCCTTATCACGGAGACAACAACATAGCTAGAAAGAAAAAAAAAAACACCACGGAGGGAATATCCCATGTAATATTCCGACAATCCCTGTGTAAAAATACCTCTAAATCCTCAGGGGACCTCTGAGAGACACTCTTATTGAAATTTCTCCACAATGGGGGACAGTGAATGTGAGATTGAGGTAAGCCACTGAAATCTGATAAATGAGACTGCTATGACAGACACTGTTTCTTTTTTCCCTTTCTTCCTAACAGAGTCATTTTTGTAAAGGTGAATCATGACCCTCTAATTTAAAAGATTTTTCATGGAAAAGATGAGGGCCACAGGCCTCTGAACACTTTCTGCGAAGGGCAAAACAACTAAAAATTCAAATTCATTACCTTTACGACATGAAAGCAATGCTGAGAGAAAAAGGAAGGTCCTTGGATGTTTGGTAATTAAATCAAAATCATGCACTGTGTATACTTCATATGACTCCTTGGACACGTGCAGAGAAATATATCTGGATCCACAACCAACCGTGAAATCAGTCCAAGGACAGGCATCAGGAGTGAACGGCAAAAAAGGAAGCACAAAAGACACCCTAAACTCTAATTCATAGCTGACTGATTCTTATCTTTGGAAATGTCTGAATTATTTGTCAGTGGTGTGATGCAGACTATCCTCCAACACCCTAAAGCCCTTAAAGCAGAGAAATAGAACCATTCTAATACACTTGTCCAATGGTAATACACCTACCTATCCAACAATTGCATCAGAACGCTAACTACATGGATGTTTCAGGGTTGCTGCACAATTTTTTAAATCAAATCCAGTGCTTTTTAATACCTCAGCAAATGAAAAACGCACAACACTGCACACAAACTCAAACAGGCCATGCATCAATGTCTATTTTATTCAAATAGAGCAAATAGATTACTAATCAAACATGCATGCACTTAGAGACATATATATAACGTCTTTGAGTCTTTATCAGTTCTGCCATCCACTTGCCATTTAGCAATGGACAGTTTGAGTCGCTGGACATTTTTGGCTGAAAGAATAGTGTAAAAAAAAACAAAAAAAAACAACAACAATATTTTCAGAGATTTGATAACCTTTTCATAATTAAAACATATAAAAACAGATATCAGGCCAAAGCTGGCTAGTGCAGACATTTGATTTGGCAAGCCAGAAACTCCAAACTCTTTAAACTATATGTAACTTAAATTCTCACTCAACTTCAATTAAACTTGTTTTTGAAATACGTTAGTAACAAAATATAGTGTAATTAGATTTAAAACCTATTAATTTTATTTAATTTTTTTTATTTTCCTGTTTTAATTACCTTATTTGTATACTGTTTTGTCTTTTTGGTCTTCAGCCCACCAGAAACATTGGACCAAGCAACATTTGGGCTCCCCTGAGCCAAGCCTGCCATTCATACACTGACAAGTTCAGATTAACACTACTGATGCCTTTGCGACAGTCCTAGCTGTTGTTTTGGCTAATGTTACTAAGATCCTTACAGCAGAGATATTACCTGAGGAGAGACTACAGAAACGGTCGTAAACTAAGCCAGAACAACATGAAAAATACATATTTTGTGTGTTAGTTTTGTCAATCACCACAATTATTTATGGCATGTGTGTCATAATTATGCCAATATGCGTCTCCCCAGTTGAGTGGACCAACTTGCTTTTAAAGCGTCACAATATAGTACTTTTTGTTAAAACTAAAAGAAGTAGCATTACTGAGTATGGAGGACATTAAATACATTGTGCATGTGCCACTGTAAGTCACCCTGTAAAGCCTGAAATAATCATTTAAAAGTCAGAGGTACCAAGACGGATTTGGCAGGGCGTTTTTTGGACCACGTTACATGTTTTTACTTAATAACATCACACGCATAGGCTCAAAAAGAAGGCCCACCTCGATGTTTAGGTCTCCAATGCAAACTCAACATTACACTGATGAAGCTACGATTACTATAGTAGGTAATTCACTTACATCCTCAGAAGACACATTCTCTTGAAATACTCTTTCTACGCACTCGCAAAAGTCAAATTCATCCCATTGTTGGGATCCAAAGCACATTATAAAATGTTCTTCCGCAGGTTGTGTGCAATTACATATTTCCAACAGACAGGTCTTCAGATCCCCAAACACTATATAATGATGCTTGAAGAACTTTATTAGACACTGTCACAATTAATAAGCTATGGAAGAATGGATGATATCAGAAGATGACCATGGCAGGAAGTGTGGATTTCATAAACAAAACTGAGCAAAATAAGTGCTATTATCAAAAGTTTTTAGTTGTTATTTAGAATAAATAAGAATCGAACTGTCCAAGGTTCCTTGAAAATTCAGGTATTAAGACTTGTTTAAGTAATATCAATGGACAAATGTATGTTGCAAAGCTATGAACCATAGCAACAGCCATCTTGAAGTCTGATTTTTATTTTTACTTTTATCCATTTTAATAGAGAACATAGAGTGTCAGAATCCACATAAGCAAGTTTATATGAGATTACTTAAAAACTTGACATGGTTTGTGGTGCCTGATGACCCTCTTCCAATATGGCTTCTGCCAAAGTCCTCAAAAGGCAACCCATAACCCTCTCCCAGCATGGCTGCTGCCATTTGACCCCATGCAAATCATCCAGATGCAGGGGAAAAATCTCTGAAGCAAAGCAGTGGTATCTTAATTAGCGTACCTCTGCAG